TGTTTGTATAGTCTTTTTCAAATTGCACTGTCATGATTCGCAACATTTAACATGGTAGCGGAGGCCTGTGGATTCTGAGATGCAGCTCTTGTTTTTTGGGGGGTCTTTTTTCCGAGCACCAAACAGCCTGACCTTAGAATTTTGAATTTTCTGGAATATTCACTCTTGACAACCAGAGATGGGCAGTAACGCATTACAAGTAACACTTTACTGTAATCTGATTACTTTTTTGTAGTAACGAGTAAAGTAAGGGATTACTATTGTAAAAAAGGTAAGTAGATTACTGTTACTTTTCCCGAAAGCACGCTGCGTTACTACGCTACCAGGGAATGGGAAATTCACAGACTAACCCTTCTTCCACTGACCGCTGTGGCACACCTACACCAGGGCAAACATCAGCCTGCTATACAGGTGAAAATAAAGCAACAGGACCGCTGAGTCTTTTTTATTTTATTTATTTTCTGCTGTGTTTCACTTGCGTTTATTTGAAAGACTGAGTGTAAACACAAAAAATATTTTATTTTATGTGCTGGAATGTGCAGAAAATAGGTTTAAATGTCAAACAAATTTCTTCCACTCAGAGAATGTTGCATATAATTTAATTTTTGCTTGATGGATAAAGTTAAAAGATTAAAACTAATAAAACAAGTTTTAAAAGAGACTTTTCTATTTGATTACATTTTGTATAATGGATTATGCAGAGAAAGTAGAATTGGGCTAAAAGATCTATTGCTTTATTACCTATTCAGGTTGAAAATCATGTTTTTAAAAAGTAACTAAGTGATTAATTACTTTTGAAAATAAGTAATCAGTAAAGTAACGGGATTATTTTTTGGGGGAAGTAATCAGTAATTAGTTACTGATTACTTTTTTCAAGTAACTGTTGACAACATTGGGAAGTGTCTTGAAACCTCAGATTTATTGGCAGTAGTAATTGCTTCTTTAACATTTTTACTAATGTCTTTCCTTTACAGCATTGTGTTATCAGACACTTGAATGCTTGAGACCCACAACTTGACAATGTTTCTGCTCTTAGAAGTGGTCATACTTGCTGATGATCAGTAAATCAAGTGTATTTGATTATTGGCAATTGGCCGGTACTCAATTCTCACTGAATGAGGTATACTTAGTTTTCTATTATTGTTTTTTTACATACTGCTTTTTGAATTTTGGCTTAATTTTTGTTAAATAAATGAAAAAGTATAATTTAATATTTTGTGAAACCATTTTTTTCTATTATGTTTTGATTAAAAAAAAAACCTTAGAATTGAAAGAGTGTGTAATTTTTTTAATATTGACTGTGTGACATTCCTCCTGTTTTCTTACTGCTAGTGAAATGTAAGCTGAACTAGTTAATTATCTCTTTGGTGCCACGGACACTGCTCAGTTACCTGGATTCAATAACCCCAGAATGTGTCTTTTCTGTATTTCTTCATTAATCAATACAATATAATAAATATACTATCAAGTTAGGTTTGCCTTTAGCCAGTTTACATTACTCATGCTGGTTTACTTGTGAAAAATTAATGGGATTAGCCAAATTCTTGGCAAATACTAACTGAAAACTCAGAGGTTATTGGTGGTTGTCTTGATCCTTGGCCAAAATTATTATGATGATATCAGATCAACACCAACAAAGGGATATCAGGGTATGTGCTGACATGCCTCTGAAACATTGTGGTCAAGGTGGTGTCTTTGAATGGGCAAACTAAAGTGGTGGTCAACCTTTTTATGAAGACGGGACCATACTCTGTATCCTCCCTTACAAGATGCATGCAAGGGTACAAAAGAGAAGAGTCTGCCCCTTTGTTGGACCTCAGATTCAGAATGTAGAATGTGGTTTCACTCTAGTTGAGGAACATTAAACCAGCTCTTTACTCCTCTCAAGGATACTTGGGAAATTTCTAAACAAGTATAGAGATGACAAGCCTCTCTGTTTTTTTTTTTTCATGACTGGGTAAGGCTGTATGAGATCCACAGAAAGATCTGGAACACTTTTGCAGTGATTTAGACAAAGTACAAGTTTAGTGTGTGTGAATGGATGACTGGATGTGTAAAGCGCTTTGGGATCCTTAGGGACTAGTAAAGCGCTATACAAATACAGGCCATTTACCATTTACCATAACAGACTGCACTTCCAGCACTCCTGTGCCACCCACCGTGGCTTGGATACATTGTCTGCTCCTTCCAGGGCCTGGGCTAGCGGACCAGGTAAAAAATGGTTTCTGGCCCAAAGCACCAGTGGCTGCTCCGCTAAGGAGGGGCCAGGGAGCCTCTATCTCAGTGCTTGCATGAGCTGTGGTTTCCTGGCTGGCTGTGGATCTCTGCTGTCTCGGTCCGTGCAGCCAGGTGGTCCTCTGGAAGGGTGACTGTGGCTTCCAAGCTTGCTGACTGATGGCAGCGGACCCATCGTGCCATTTCCAGGTCGTCCATGAACTGCTCCAGAACCACCATTGCCACGCCTCTCCCTCTGATGGCCGGGCTGCAGACACCTCACTGCTGTGTCATGCAGCTTCCAGGCCCACATGAACAGCTGGTCCTCTGCCATCATTTGACTGTCCCGGAACCGCTGGTGATGGTCTTCCAGGTAGAAGCCCAAGTTATCCATGACGGCCCGGCAGATGCCCTTGAAGCTTCGTCGTGAGGCCAGCAGCAGGCTCAGAGCCGCCATCTGAGCCACTCTGCCATTGACCACTGTTACGCCTGTGGCTCTGAATGCCTCCAGGAAGACCCAAGGGTCGTCACCCTCCCCCATCCAGTATATCATCACCGCCAGTGGACGAGGGGGTGGTGGCAAAGTGACCCTCACCCACCTCTCCAACATCGGTGTCTGATGCTCGGTCTGGTCCTGAAGTCTCCACAGCTGCTCTCTTTGCCCTGCTGCTTGCTCCACATGCATCGCAGCCATTTCAGCTGCCACCATCTGTGCCAGCAGTTAAACCAGCTGTGCGGTTTGTGTCCATCCACACATTCTCTTCTGCTTATCCTTGTCAGGGTCATGTGGGGGCTGGAGCCTATGCCAGCTACCCTAGGGTGAGACTGGCGACCTGGCCAGATTGCCAGTCTGTCGCAAGGCTAACACAAAAAGACAGACAGCCATTTGCACTCACATTCACACCTGTGGGCAATTTAGAATTATGAGTTAAACTAACCCCTAATACCAAGTCTTCTTTGAAAAATCCATTTAATATTAAATGTATAGGTGGGAAATTATATGATTACATTTTCTGTTTTTTTGCAGTGATCATCACATCCATCAACTGTTTAAGTGTCAAACTGGCAAGTTATGTGCAGAACTTTTTTACTGCAGCCAAACTTGTAATCATTCTTGTCATAGTTGGAGCTGGAATCGTTCTGTTGGCACAAGGTCAGTCTTCTTATATCTCTTTACATACAACTCTGTCTTTAAATGTTTGTGTTAATAAATGTTAACCAACCTTTAACCACTAACATTATTGTATATTATGTATTTGTGTCCAGGAAAAACAGAGAATTTTTCAAATGCTTTTGATGGCACTGCAACATCTTTTGGAGCAATTGGACTTGCATTTTATAATGGGCTTTGGGCTTATGATGGATGGTAATTATTTACTTGGTTTCATACTTTCTCAGGCTATATGTGATAATATGATGAGTATTGCTCTTCTGAATTCAAATAAGGGGCACTGTAACCATCCTCAGCATTCAGAAAAGAAAAGAACAAAACTGTTTTACATCTTTGTTTTCAAAAATTATATATTTCATACTGCTTGCATTTTATCTTAAATAACCTTACTGATGTATCCAGATCAGGCAGTATTCAACAAATTACACTAAAATATTTTTAGTACGCACATACCACAACCTTTGAAGGTAGAAACGTGGGCCTTGATGATGAACCTGTGAAACTATTTTAGCTTTCTATACAATTACAGAT